AATCGTGAACACGGAGAATTATAAAAAATGTTAACTCTCTAACATCTTCATAATGTTAACGAGAGACACAATGTTACGTCAAACATAACTCTCTCATGTTAGTTCAAGCAAGCATCGGGAGAGTTAAGAAAAGTGGGCGTGGTCGTTGGGAAAAATGGGCGTGGTTCGAACATAACTCACCGAAAGCATAACTCACCGAGATAACTCACCGCTTCATAGTTAACTCTCCGTTTAGCCGGTCCCAGATTAAGTATATACAAGATGTGTAACTTCATAGGACGTTCGTGGCTGAAATTTCCCAAAGCTGTACACGTCATGCACACGCCATGACACTTGCTAGGAAGATGGCGGCGTGGCATGGCGTCGGCACGAACAACTTTTGCATCATCTACGTCTTTCTTTTCTTGTCATTTGTGCCATTTTAGCAGTAATTTGTTAACAAATTGACATAAATTGCAATGCCAATGCCTTTTTTCATTTCCGCAAATGTCAAGGCACAGGTCAAGGGCATGAAAGCAATGACGTATTACCAAATGACGAATTATCACGCAAGCGACAGGAGATAGCGTCGTAGCACAGAATAGATAACTACCTATTGTATATTAGTGTATTATCTATTCTGTGGTCATAGCGACCGTGGGACAACTTTTTTATTGAAGTTACACATATGTCCATACTTAATCTGTAGTGTTGTCAAAAACGTAACTTGTTTAAGCTCTCTATTGTGTGTACATAGCCTCAGCTGCATGTTATGATTCGACAAAATATATTATTATAAACATGACGGCGGTTTTCCCCTTCAACCGTACCGTACGGTAGTATTTTTTTGTGCCGCAGTAATTTCTAGTGCTCAGCCTAAGAGAACAAAGAAATAGTGAAAAAAGGCATTAAGCCCTTACAGGGTCATATCATACCTTTTCCCTTCGACATATTGATTTCAACTGCATGTAAAATTGTACAACGTACGAAGCAGTGTCGTACTGACTTGTCAGAATATACGGTGATATACTTGTCGCGGTGACATACGAATGCCATAATGTCAACTTGGGTCCAAACCAGCGATATCTGCGTCTAGATGAAGGTAATTTCATAACTTATTTAATTTTTCAGCGTAGGAACCGGGGGGTGGGCTGGCAAGTCCGAAAGTCCAACAATACAATGAACGGCCAAATGGCAAATGTTTCGTATCTCGCTATAAAATTATATTAAAAGGTAATTATCAACACAACATCAACTAAGCATTATCACGTCTAGCCGATTTCATATTAGAAAACGAATTTCCGTCTAAAGGCTGTTTTCCAGTTACACGTTTTTCATACGTGCATGTACGCTCGTAAAATATTAAATCTTTCTAAATTTTATATGTATAGGTAATAGTATGGTTTCGATTGCAATTTGGGAAAAACATGCACGAGTGAGTTTTTCAAAGACGATCAAGTCCGAAGGACGAGTGCAATTTGAAGTCTTTGAAAAACTCACGCAAGAGAAAAGAGACTATTGCAAGAGGAAAGATACTATTACTTATTAATAATATAATACACGAAAAAAAATGCAGTCACGTGCGTGCGTAGGTCACATTACTGATGCGAAATAGGTATTAATAATTTTAATAGAAAATCTACTAAAAACGCCAGCCATTTTTGTCACTCGTAAATGTTTGGGTTTTCGTATTATTTTCTGCTAGAAATGGCTGTATCTTATAGTCAATGAAATTTGCACTGTATTTCATTTTTTGGCACTGTGTATATTTCTGACATGAGATAACTACAAACTCATATTGCACTCTCACTGAAATCCAGATTTTTAACCTATGACAATTAGAGAAACAAATAATTTAGAACACTAAACAAGGAACAATGGTTTTTGACCAGAAATAAAAAACCGAAATAAGAACCAAAAAGCGACCCGACTAGATATTGGTTCTTTTATTCATATTTTAACTGTATCTAACAACTAATTCATAAATGAGGCAAAACCTGGGCAACACCCTGTCTCATAGGCTTTTATAATTTAGTCATAGAATTTGGCTGTAAACAATGCATGTGAGCATGTAAGGAGCCACAGTATAACAAAGGCTGAGGTGAGAACAGTTCAATTATAATCCTCATGATTTCAGAATGACAACCTAAAGGCCATCATCAATCACACGTGTACAGTGTCAGGTCTAATAGGATGATGAAACAACAGACTGGGGTGTTTGGTAGCCTACCAATGTCCCCAACATTTTTGGGTGTCACAAATTTAGGTATCCAAGTTGCATAATTGGCTTAATATTTCATAAAAAAATATACCTTATCATGCAAAATCTACCACCAAAAAGGGTAATTATACCGTACTTATATAATATATTATTGTGTATGTTGTGGTTTTACTTACTTCACTAACTCATTTGACAAATAGATGACCAGAGATAATGACTTGAGATGATTGACCACCAACTCATATTGCACTCTCCCTGAAAACCTATGATTAATACCCAAAGTCACATCAGAACCAATGCTGGCCCTGGTACATGGCATGCTGCAGCCATGCAGGCACTCCTGTAAACAAGAAAAGAGATTAAAAAAATGAGAATATTACATATAAATATATCCCTTGGTATTATTTTATTATTTGCTAATCGTATTAGGAATATTGTGTATTTATCATATGAGGTTGAAGACAAAAGCAGAAAATCATGTATTTCTTTGATTTTCAATTTACTTCATTTGATGACTTGCAAAATATTTTTATCTGCTAAGGTAAATTTTATTATTTTGCTACTGGTGGCTTAGTTAACTTTATGGCATGTTTTGTACTGTTGACCAAATAGGCAGTGTCAGTGCTTAACGTATCAATTGCCAGTGCTATCCCTTTAACAAGTAAAATCATCTGGCAACAGACAGTTTAAAATAACAATGTATTAACAAAACTGCAAATACTTCCTCTTGCCAGAAAAAATGTGTTATGTTTTCATGTCAAAAAGTAACATTCAGGAATGCGGCTACATTCCTACACCTATTATTGTTAAAATGTGACACTATTTTTTGCTATGGCAACACAATATCTAACAGACCAATCAGACATAGCCATGCCTACAATGTCTATTTCACAACCTTAGAAATGTGGTTGCAATCCTGAGTGTTTTGATGCAAAAACCTCACACATTTCTTCCACAGAGAAGGATGCACAGTTTTGGTGGAGGTGCATTAGGATGCAATGGAGTCACTCATTCACTCAGGAGTCACTCATTTCAAAATATTTCTAATAACATAGAATGACCTACTGTCTATGATATATAATCTTGTGGATACTATAAACACATCATCGTTCTCATTGGAGAAGGAAAAATTCATACCAAATCTTCCCTCCTGGACAAATAAAACAGTCTGGCTGCAGACAGAGTATGATAATTATAGGAAAGCATAATTGGCTTAAATGAATAAAGCCTTGAACACTTTTCCAACTTTTATAAGCACAGGTTTATATATCACACAACACATGTATATTTATATATTAAAACCAAATCATTGACATTACTACTGCAAACCATAAATAATGTATCTCTAATATATAAGTTTTACTACCAAATATATAATTATTGTACTTGGCTATACGTAGTCATATACCTGATGCAGATACTTAGAATAAACAGAGAACCTTCTAGACAGTAGACATACTGTACTTCTGGTTTCTACAAAATGTTTGTAGAGGTATAGCCAGAGTGGGGCACAAGGCCCCCTTGTAAAAATTCTGACCATTTGTTTCTTGTAGCCATTTTATATCTTGCCAGGTTTTAAACGTTCATGATTAAGTAGAGTTGTTATTTTTTAATTCAACAAAATACTAAACATGATAAAATGCTGAAAATGGCACTCTACGGACTCTATCCTGGTAGAAAATCCTGGCAGGATCCTATGAAGGATCCTACCATTTTCCTATGGGATCCTGCACAGGATCCTCAGAGATTAGTTCCTGTGTAGGATCACCCACTGGATCCTTTACTACAGGATCCTATAAGGATCTTGTTGGATCCCATAGGATTTTTTACCAGGGTAGACTTTAAAAATTTTCCCTTGGGGAGCATACCCCCAGACCCCCCTAAACACTGTGCACTACATTGCACTACATTGCACTACATTGCACTACATACACAGATAGCAGGAGTGTCCAAATAATTTTCACATTCCTAAACAAACTATATTCAAACTAGCGCAGAGAAAATTGGTTTGGTTCCTCCTGATTTTTCAGCCCATCTTGACTAGAAATCTGGCTACACCACTAAATGTTTGGCATACCCACTCAATGTCAGGCATGCTGGAAAGTTTATAATTGTCAGACCTGCCAACCTTGGAAGTCCTAAAAATGTGAGATCTTTATTTTTCCTCCCAAAAGACCTGGAGATTTTGACAAAAAACTTAAGACACAAGCCCAACAAAAGCTAGCCTGTGAACAGGCATTTATAGGAGTCCCCCAAGGGAAATAAATGCCTGCTGGCATGCTTTATAATTTTGGAAAATGCCCCTTTGAGTCACGCCCACCTGTCAAAAACTCAAAATCACAGAATAGTGCTCAAAATATCAATGATCTTCCGTGCCATTACGCGGAATACTGGCTTTCTTTTAATTCTTTAAATATCCAAATATATTCAAAACTCAAGAGTCATCTTGTTTATCAAAATAAATGAATGAGAAAGATTTCTGTATCGAAATTAGAACATTAATGCGTCCAGTCAGTCGAAATATAAAATATTGCCGTTTTGAATTGTCGAGATATTTATGTAACTGGTGTTATGCACTCAGGTGTAGATATATATATATACATATATTTGTGATGTTACTCTGAGTGTATCCACACTGGGCAAGCTGAAAAGTTTGCTTGACCGTGGTGGGAATCAAACCAAATACATATATCTACACCTGAGTGCATAACACCAGTTACATAAATTCATGATACAAGAACATATTTGATATCGAAGGAACTAGATTCTGTTCCGAAATAACACACACTCAAACCAACTTGACCTTGTAGCTCAGTTGATAGAGCATTGGACTAGAAAACCAAAGGACGTGGGTTCGATTCCCACCGCGGTCAAGCAAACTTTTCAGAGTAACATCACAAATATATGTATTCGAGGTACGGTATGTTTAATATTAATAAATCTACATAAGAAACAAAAACATAGTTTTGAATGTTCATGCTTTCACAACTCAACTGATAGTATATAAAACAACATATATTTGCATTCTATTTAATAATGCCTAATGGTATATAAATTGCATACAGTACAACAAAAATAGTAAATGTATACATATATAAAAAATCATTTTAACACTATAATAGCAGACCGTAAATAAAATCCACTTTAGTTTATGGAAATCCACAACGATCTTCATAGAGGTTCGATGGATTTTTAACACTTTGATAGGACCCTTCAGGCAAACTAGCAGCTTTTAAAACTGAACTTGACATGTAACTAATACATCCAAAATATTTACCCCATTAAATTGGCCCAAAACATTAATGTTTTTCTTGTTCGCATTTACTCGACTATACTGTATTCATCTATAAATCAACGTCAACAAATTTTTGTCAACAAAACTCCTACTTAATGTCAAATCAACGTCAACAAAACTCCTACTTAATGTCAATCATGTGTTCCCATGTGACCATAATTCTCCAATCAGAAAGCTTTGTTCGTGGGCGAACAAAGTCTCCCAAAATTTGAAGCCATGCTGGCAGGCGACTTGGCCCACCTGAATAAACACCTGTTTGCAGGCTAAACAAAAGCAGAGAGCCTTGTCCCTCTTGTTTGTCAAACATTGAACTTTTCATATCCCAAACCTAATGCAAATAAACTCCAAACAATGAGTTTAGGTAATCTAAATTAGATTTGGTACACGGTTAAACAAGGCGTCAGAGCGAGATAATTTATCCAAACTTTGTTTCAGGAAACACAAGAAAAGCTTAGCAGCCCTAGGGATTAAAAGCAGTAAAACAGCTTGAAATATATATAGCCTGGTATGTTTCTTTGAATAAAGACAACAAGTGTAGTCCGATCCTTTATATAGTTATAAAAGCTTTAATATCCTGGCATTGTGTGAAAGAATCGTGTGAAATGGACATTACATCGTGAGAACTTAAGATTTAGGTGAAAATCGTGTGTCACACGATTAAATGATAGATCGTGTGAGTTGGCAGGTCTGAATTACCTATAATTAAAACGATTTTACAATAATATAAAATTTGTGTTTAATACCTTTTCGGCCGGCTTTCACTAAAGTTCTTTGACATGTAAATGCATCCTACCTATGATCCTAACAAAATATAAACTCCAATAGAACTTCTTTTATATACTCTTTCGCCAAAACGCCATTTTGTTTAATATTATTTCGCGTTTAGTATTATTACGGCGCGGTTAATACGATGTTTGTAAGAGAATTGGTGAAGGCAATTTCAGATACGCTAGAGCACCTAGTCCCCAGGCCTTTACTGACGCGGCCGCGAAATTCAATATGGCGCCGAGCAAAGGAGTTGAGTTTAAATCTTATATTTTCTACTGTTGTTTTTTCTTCTTTTTGGTTGGAAGAACTTATATTGTGAAAGTTTTAAAGCAGAATTTTTTCCAATGCATATTTATCTGTATGGATCCAGTTGTGAGTTGATGTTGTGCTATTACTACACCAAATTGATCAAAATATTGGACAAGTCACAAGACAAGAAAATCAATTTATACTATTTTACACAGGTTGGCAGGCTACGATTAAATAATTACATGACTTGATGTTGGTGATATTAGTTTATGCAGGGTAATACATGGCATTCTATTAGCAGTTTTAAAAAGTCAGATAATATTGCATATTCCATTTGATAAAAACTATAAACTGCTATAACTGAATGGTCGAACAATATTGTTTCCATCAGTCAAATTATAGTGTTTTAGAGTTAGAATTATTGTGTCTTATAGGCAGGTGCGTAGCAAGGGTGTGTGGAGGGAGGGGGGGGGGGGGTTAGTGGACTAAAGCAACCCCCTCACAAGCCTTATGAATGTCATGTTGACTCTGTAAAAAATATGATTCTGGCAAACATACCAAACACGGTCAAAATTTTTTAACCGTTTAAGTGGCCAGTGCGCCCTACTTTATTATTTTACTCTGTCATGGGTTAAAGTTTAACATACACTGCGACAAACTATGATACAGATAAACACATCATTATGAATATGATGCTTGCAAGAAAATTTCTACATTCAGCTAGCTCATAAGTACTTTAGCAAGCATAAAAGAACACATACTTGAGACAAACATATAGCAAGCATAATTTTGTTTGTAGGGATGCAAGTTATTTAATAGGGTACTAACCTTGTATGCAGGGCCTTACAAAAATAAAAAAAATCTGGGTAGGATGTTAGTGTGATATTACCAGCTGCCATCAAAAGTTTCAAGAATTGTGAAAAATTTGGTACCATATATCAATGTTGTAGATTGCAAGTGGTAGACATGACAAAGTGTCTTGTTAACCCTTTAAGCCCTAACACACCCTTCTTTACTATTTCACTTGGCCTAATGCCAGATGATTTTACTCTTCAATGGGAGATTAGAGTGCTAGCACTCAATGCATTCAAAGGGGATTATAGCTGGATATCAGCCAGAGGTTCACTCCTCAGGGGCATAACTCCTAAGGGCTGTGCCCGGCAAGAGCCAGTGGGCGCCTTGTCAAGGAGGGCCCCCATGCAAATTTTTACGCAGCGTTTGGAAGGGTAATAAAAACAGTGAAAGTTGCAATAGGTAATGATGAAACCAATAAAGAAACAAATTTGCAGTTATATGTTATTATAACTATCAAGTTGTAAGTAGCCCCCTCCCCTTCAACACTCTGAACGGTAGATCAAATGGGGTAGGTCAAACTTCAGTTCAAGACCAGGGGCTTCTTTCACCACTGTCACTCCTTCAACCTACTGTACCCATATTTAGGATTCCAGAAAATGAGTACCCCATATGCTTCAGAAAAAAGTAATAATGTCACTTCTAATGTCTAAATATCAATGTCTGGACTATAAATATTATAATAGAGTGTGACTTTATTACAACAGATCACTCAATCCAGAAAATAAATTATGTGATCAGTATAGTAAACTTTAACTTGTTAACAACAATATCTTATTTTAAATTACTGAACTTAAAATCTAACTTAACCCAGTACCATACTTTGCATTTGAAAGAGCTCATTTGTAGTTTTTACTGTATATGCAATGAATGAAATTAAAATTAATAATGTATTATATTTTAATGTAATCTCAAAAAAATATGACAGGGCCTCAGCACTCCTCTCCCCACTAAAAAACACATTAAAGGGGGTGGCTTAGTCCACTACACCCTATGATAACTTATAATGACAAACATAGTATTCATAAGGTTTGTCTCAAGTATGTGTTCTTTTAATTTATGCTTGCTAAAGTACTTATGAGATAGCTGAATGTAGAAATTTTCTTGCAAGCATCATATTCATAATGATGTCTTTATCTGTATCATGATTTGTTGCAGTGTATGTTCTTTAGGGACTGTTCATTATTTATGGGAAGGGGGGGGGCATGGATGATTTTTGCAAATTTTCATACATCTCACCATCTGAAGATGAGAAATCACCCGAGCTTCCAATTTCTCCTTTAATTACCTCCTCTTCAGTGAATGAGTATCACATGTACTCTTTTGTTCTGCGGTAGCCTGAGACAAGACGAGTAACGAATAATATTCGTTATTCGTCTAGTCTCAGGCTAGTTCTGCGGCTATTGTAATTTATATATACATATATTTATATATACAGTGCTACAATGTGTGCAACTATAAAACTTTGTACAGCAGGGACAAAGAGCAGAAAAGAAAGTTAGTTATTATGTATTAATATTCAAAGCACCAACAGCAGTCTTGTCAGATTTACAACTCGAGGCGATACCCAAGTGTTTTTAATAGATCTGATGAAATATGTACTGCGAGTGTTTTGAATAGCTTCAGAAACAATCTATTTGATAAGTTCATTGGCCTAGTAATTTTGAAAATCAACATTGTCTAACAGGAGAAATTCAAAGATGAAGTTTATGTAAATCTGATTTCTTTTTGTTTTTTTCTTATCAATTATTAATAAGTTTTTGAAGGTTATAGATGTGTCTTCCTTTAATTTCAGGTCCCCCCAGGATTTGGTTTACCAGAATTGCAGTCCCCCTTTTTTCATCTGGAAAAATCTCAGGTCCACCCAGTTTCTCACCCCCCCCCCCCCCCCCCC